TCAGACAAATAAAATAAGTCACAAGAACAAGTTAAACCCATATATATGCTTTTAAAATAGGTTTAATATTTATTACTAACTCGGAACTAGAATTCAAATCCCAGGCCGACAAATACCTTGCTCTAAGAAGTAATCTGCTATTAATCTTCCAAAACTAGTAACTAACTACTGGTAGTTTCTAATTACATTTTACAGGAATAGCCAACAAATTGATCGCGATAGAATTTCAAAATTCGCATTCCACATCAGCCGTTGCTAGAATGGGTAAGCGACCGTGCTACATCACTTGCCATCCCCTCGCTGTCCAATATGCCTTCTAGCGGGCTTCCTTCTTTTAATTTTGGATGTAACAACAGATAAGTTGGCATTCCTGTGTTTCTGGTTTAATATTTAATTTGACATTGTATTAAAGTTTCTAGAAAAGGTGCTAATTTTCCTTAGCATTACAACTGTGCAAAAATGTAAGTACTCTGTTTCTAAGTTTTAATTTTCTAAGTTTTAAATTAAAATTGTTTACTTTTATACTTCTTTTGCATTTTTGTGACCAGTACAATGAGTAGTATAATAAAAAATTAAAGACTTATCATTTTCATGAAGAACAGGAACTTGATCATTTTTCTTACAATGATGAATGATAAATGTTGCTGTTCGATTTGCAATGATCACGTAGCAGTTACTAAATGAGTAATGCGGGAAAAAATTTTTTGCCTCGAAATTCAAATTGTCTTGGAATACAATTACCTCGAAAAGCTGTGATACAGCAGACTGAGAAAAGACAAGAAAATAGATTAGTAGATGTGTAGATGATAACGGAGATTAATAAATATTACTGTTTCTCCCATTCGGTATGATGAATATTGAATAGCTTATTTTTATTCGTATGATTGCTAAAAATTATATTACTGCAGAAGAATTATTAGGTAGATTTCTCTTAAATAAAGAACTAGAAGTAAAGCTATATCAGCTCTTAAAAACTTCTTCCCTAACTTTAACTTTTAAAACTAGTTTCAATAACAACAAATGAAGCAGAAACAATGCTAGGCCACATAAATGGATTTATAACTCTGGCGTCTTAATTACCACTGAGTCACACCGACAAGTAGTAGCCAAGATCCAAGATAGTCTTTAGAATTGTTAATTTCATTCGATGAAGTTATTCTCTTGAAGACGACTCTTCAAGACACCTTAAAGGATGTTGGAACCCCAAAATTTTCAAAAAATTGCGATTTCGGATTTTTGCATTTTCAAATTCTCTATACTTTTATCTTTCTAAAAATACCATTATTTAATCTCTATGAAAATTAGAACTGTAAAAAAATCTAGTTTTAATTTGTCATCTACTGCTTTGATCAATAAGGATTTTTACATAAAAACGCGTTTTTCTCCAAACGTGATTCTCTTATACTCGATGTACCTTTTCTCAGGAACTACTGCTCACAGGTATCTAAACTTTTTATGGCTTATTTATTAGGTTCCCTAATATTTATTGAAATGAGGATTTTGTAATAAACTTCGAAAAAATTTTAAATTTTTTTTTTTTTTTTTTTTTTTTTGTGTGTGTGTGTGTGAGAAAAATGCTAAATTTTATTATGCCTAACAAAATATTCTGTAATTTTCTCTGAAATTCAAAATGTTTTAAAAGCTCATTTCAGTATATTCAGATAGGCATACTTTAATTACAGAAAAAATTTCAAGCTTGTATCTACAGCAGATTTTGAGAAAAAGTCCATCGAAAATGGCCAGTTTAACATTGTCGGTATAGGGGTTTCTGATACCCCTTAATAAAAGACATCTACTATGATAATTGTATTGGGATGGAAAGAAAGCAATTTCGGTTTACAGAAACAGATAGAGTTGTTTTTGTATCGTATTCTTCTGTTAAAATCTTATATTTTTTCTTTTGAAATCTGGCTGCTGATACTTTTAGGTTGCTATAGGAAAACATTCCGTATATTTTGATCTACAAGCCTTAGTTTATGGTCACTCACTCTTTTATTTTCATATGGACAAGAACGTGGCTGAGGCTCACAAAGAGATATGGGAATTTTATGGTGTCTATTGCTTAACAGAACACATGTGTCAGAATTGACTTAAAAATTTCATTCTGAAGATCTTTCGCTTCAAGATGACCAACGTTCTGCCCGACTTTCTGAAATCGATGATGACAAAATTAAAGCCATATTGAATCACATCATTATATAACTGAGCGAGAAATTGCAAAAAGGTTAAATACATCACACACGACCATTGAAAATCACATAAGATGTCTTGAACTCCTTACAAAGCTCAATATTTGGGTTCCACATGAACTGAAAGAAATTCACATAACACAACAAATCCTTGTTTGCAATGCGAATTTCAAAAGTAATGTGATCGACTCTTTTTTTATGCGAATTATCACTGGTAATGAAAAATGAATCATCTCCAATAACATTACTTTAAAAAGATAATGGTCCAAAGCCTGATGAATCGGAACAAATCATAGCGAAAGCTAAAATGAATCAGAAAAAGGTCAGGTTAATTTCGTGAGATTAAAAGGTGTTGTGTATTTTGAGATGTTCCCAAGCAACCGAACGATTAACGCATATGTTTATTGCCAACAATTTATGAAATTCGAGGAAACAATCAAAGAAAGGCCATAATTTACAAATCTCAAAGGAATCGTGTTCCACCATGCCATTGCGAGGTCTCAAACATTTTTAGCAGCACGTAGGGAGTTACTGGAGCTTATTTTGGAAGTGATGCCGAATCTCCTTATACCTCCGACTTTGCACCGTCAGATTATCGTTTATTTTGAAGTTTACGAAACCTTTTAGATGGTAAAAACTTCAGTAATAAGTGTAATATCAAATCGCTCTTGGTTATGCTTTTTGATGATAAGGATCAGAAGTTCTACGAGCGTGGAATCATGAAGTTACCAGAAAGATAATAAAGGGTCATCAAAGAGAATAGAAGATATTTGACTGATTAAAGTTCACTTTTTATGTAGAAAAATTGAGTTTCATTTTACATTATAAAACCGAAATTGCTTTCTTGCTAACCCAATAACATGTAAGATGTCTACGTAGAAGTAAATATCTGCAACGATTGTGTGATATATTAACGGAGATAATAATTCTTCGAAGAGACAGATCAAGTATGCGCTGAAAAACGTAAAGAAGTTTAGATTTGGAGTATTGGAATTCGGCAAAATACGCGATAGCAATCGGCCTAAGGATAGTGATGTTTTTGCTGGGAAATTTCTAAGGGAAAATGGCTCATGGTTTTCTCCTTTTCAATTCATAAATATTATTTATAAAATATCATGTTGGCTTTACCGTTGTCAATTATTAGTACACAAGGTACAAGTTTGAACATGTTTAAAAGTCAAGTATTTAGTAGAAAGATCACAACAAATTTTTAAGAAAAATTGTCGGTAATAATATATATACAGAAGTTGCTATTCCTGATATATCAGGACTCGAGGGAGTTTCCAACTTACTCTTATTATTTTTTATTATCTAAGCAGCAAGTTCTCTGCTTTGTGTCTTGGAATGTCTCATGTAAAAGTTATGTACGACATTATCAGGTCATCTTTGCATTTTCTTAAAGCTTTTGCCCTTAAAGTATTCTCCTGGGTTTCCACTAAAAATAAATTTTATAGTAATCGTATGTGGGCTATAGTAGCCAGATTAAATGATCATCACTCGGTCCAGAATAGTCTGATTTCTACTTGATTCTGAGATTTTGCCCAGATGAATTCTTTGTCATTTAATTGCAGAAGCAGGTAGCTAGCTTGCAAATAATTTCTAGTTGTACATTAGGAATCAGAGGAATTTCTTCACTTGACTTTTGGTAAAATTGTGATCTGATCAAATCGGAGCAGCTTTTGCATTTAGAGGCATGAGTTCGAATCCCGAAAGAAGCTTCGGTATTTGTGATCATTTTGCCTGCTCTGGTCTCGTAAAACCATCGAAAATCTGGTCTCATTATTTGAATGCTGAAGAAGGGAGGTATAAGCTCCCAAATACGGTTGTGTTAGATTTCTTGCAAGCAAAATGGTGTTTGGTAACTGTATACTTTTGACAATGAATTTTTGCTTACGGCACAGATAATGTGGCCATGTTTTACTTTATGCCATTCACTCAGGTTTACTTCCTTGTACAAAGTAAAGGAATCGCGAGAAATTTTGGGTGTCATATTTCAGCAGAAATATTCACTTTGTTCTGTCCCGAATCTATTTGTACAATTTTTTTTGGGTGACGTCTGTACGTACAGACAGAAAATATGACTCTTTTTTCCAAAACTGATTGTAAAATGTATTTAAAAAGGAATTTTTCGTGACGTCTGTAAGATATGTATATATGTATGTATGTCTCATGACTCAAAAACGATTAACCGTAGAACGTTGAAATCTTGCATATGGGATTGCTATAACATATAGCTGTGCACCTTTCTTTTTTATTGCAATCGGAAATACCGAACGCGTAGCCACTTACGTAGCTTAAAAGTCCTTACCCAGCCTTTATTTTCACAATATTTGGTCATAATCATTACTTCCAGTTGCAGAAGTGTTTTAAATGAAGAAAATATTCATGTTTGGGCACTGTCAAATTTAAAACAAATAATAATAATTTTTGACAAATAACGAAGCCTAATTTTTAATGCGGTCTCCCGTTTCCTGTACTTATATATGGAAAAGTTATACACTCATTATGAAGGAATAAAATTACAAGAAATTTGGACTCCAGTAGGATAAAAGTTGACCGGGTTAGTTAATTTCAAAATCTGCAATTTTTGATGTTATTTCCAATTTGCCTTGAGAGATCGGCTAATTATGTTAAAACAATTTAAAGAAGTAATTTTAAATGAAGTTCAGCAAAAAGAGTATATTTTAATAGGCCTTACAAGCAGGTCATATAGCGTCCACATCAGATTATTTGTATAAAGTCACCGATATTATGTTTAACCAGTCTAAAGAAACATTAAAGAGAAAAGCACATACGTATAAATTACTCAAGTTTCTAAAGGAACATTTTTTATTAATTTTAGTATACATACAGGAAGTTCCATTATAATAATAATACATTATAATTCGTACTCATTTGTTTTCAACAAAGGGAAAACTCTTTGGCATTCTGACTAAAATTATATATACAAGAGAGGAAATATAAATAAATTAAATCTGATATGTTCTTTGATAGTATGGTGTGTTGAATTGTATGAAGAAAGTGCAGCGAGAGAATAAGTTATGCATGCCATAGACGTTAAACTTGTTCTCATCTGAAACTCTTGCACCAAAATTTCACTTTCTACATCATTACATTCCATTAGTGCTTAAAATTGCATCTATGAAAGTTGAATTGTCATGAATTAATATTAGCACAATATGGGAAATTTTGTTTGTTTTGCGAGTCGGTTTGAAATTTATAAATATCTTTGAATAAGAAAAAATATTGGAAATGCAAGAAACGTTTTTGGCTAAAAAAATGTAATCCTTTGCTTAGAATGGGTTTCGTTTTAAAACAAATTTAGTTTTCTAATATTTTAATATGGTTTCCTAGATGAACGATGCAAATTCATTAAAGTGCATTAAATATGCATTTCAGTTTGAAACATAGAAAAAATTTTAAGCGTTATTCTTAAGTGCTACTTTTGTTTCATGAAGTATAATCTAATTTTAAGAATTACATTGTGTCATATCTAAGCTTGTTTTAAAAAACACTTGGTATTAGATTTCATAGTTAAGTATTAAATTTAAATAAATTTATGTGTTCACCCAATTAAAAAAACATGCATAACAAAACTGATATATTTAGTTATGGAATAAAAATTGTTCTGTTGATCAGTTTGTTTCGGAAACGTGACAGAATTTACAGCAATGAAAAGTAAAATAAATACGCTTTATATATTTACTTGAAAATTTATACTCTTAAATATTTCTACAAAAATATTTCTTTTCAATCACAAGCTATTTTAATTAAAATATGGAATTGATTTTTCTATTAAGAATGTAATGTAACAATTTGCTTATTAATTTAGTATTTGAACATTTTATTTTTTAGCGGTTTAAGTAATTTTATGGTATTACTTGTACATACAATTACATTTTCGGTTTTGTGTTTTGTGCAGGAGAACTTGGTTTAATTTTTAAATCATGTACAATTATAAATCATTCGAAAATAAAAGTTTTTATAATTGTTTAAACTCTTCGTTATTCATCGGTAGTATTTTATAATTAAAGACTTATTAACGTATGTCAGAGAAAACCATTAGATATATTTTTTGACTAGAAGTTATAAATTTTATTGCATAAAAGAAAGAAAATAAATTAATTTTATGTATTGCACTACATAACAAATTGTTTTCTAAATAAGAGTGATTTTCATAGCGTATAATATGCTTATCAAACGCATTTCAATATAATATTCTTTACAGCATTTTTCTACAAGATTGATTTGATTAACTGAAGTTCTGGGAGCACTTTTGTGACATTAAACAGAATACAACATATAAAATATCTGTGCAGAGTCAAAAAATGCATTGCAAATGAAAACATTACTTATTTTTAAGAAAACGAAAAGTAAAATACAAAGTGTTACACAACATACATTCAACTCTCCGTGATCAAAAAATACTTTAAAAAATATTTACAAACACAAGCGAATCTCGAAGCTTAGTTGGTCTTTGAGTTACTAAAGCCTGTAAAGGAGTTCTCAAAATTTTTGCAGATGATGTCTAAATAAGTTATCATTTTTTTATTTCAAAAATCTTATTTTGCTTATTACAAATATTAGTGTTAATGAACACGTGTGTTTTTAATCAGAAGAGCAATGTTAACAATAAAATTATTACATATTAAATTAGAATCATGTTTTATAATATTTGTAAGCAATGATATGTCTTTGAAGAACCTTGCAATCTCACGAATGAATAAGATTTTTCAAAAAGCATTATTTTGCACAGAGTTAATGGTTTCTTGATCGTTAAAAATCTTTTCTATTTTAGAAGTCTTGTGATGGATTGGATCTAACTGAAGTTTCTAGTTTATGGTTTCTTAATGAAGTATAGAAGTAACTTCTATAATGATAACATATATTGCAATCTCGATGGCAGTCTAGAATTTTTTTTGGTAATACTAGAAAATCTATTTGTATGAAAATATTTTTTTAATTAAAAAAGGTTTCTTTGCAATATTCAAGAGTTTCGCAATTAAAATTTGTCGAATAAAATACCAGACTAAATAAAGTGAAGTGTTCGAAGGATACTTTAGTTTGTTTGTAATTTAAAAACTTATGCCCAGGTAACAGAGTTTTTTTACAGCGAAGCTGACAAAGCAGGAAATATTATAATAAATTCTTTAAGTGGACAAGAAAAAGGATTTTTATAAGTTAGAACTAATCAGTTTTGTACCAGAATTGATTTCAATTAAATTAACTTTAAAAAATGTTTGAAGGGGAAATATATTTGCATTTATCAGAATAATAATTTTAAATATTAATAATATCTCTCAAACATCACTTTCTACTCGTAATTCCATTTTAAAGAATGAAAAAAAATGAAAACACTTTACAATATAATCAAAAATATAACTCTTTTAAAACACTGTTAAAGCTCATATAATGCGCATAAATAGTTTTAGTGTTTTAACATGTTTTGAATGTAATGTTAGTAGTAGTACACGCTTTAGATTAAAGTATTGTATGTATTATTAAATTCATACTCTATTTAATTTTACATTGTTTCCAAATTTACCTATTATTGTATGTGGCTGTAATGATAAATATTCAATTTAGAAGACATCTTCATCTGTATTGTGACATATTATTTTCCCGGCAAATCATTTTCAAGTGATTTGATTTTGAAGTGTTTCTGTACAGCCGAGTAAATCTCCTTTTGACCAGGCTTTCTACTGAATGATTTTCTAGACCTTAATTCGTAATTCGCAGGAATTTCTTCTTTAAAAATCGAGTCATCGAAGTTATCTTACAACCAGACAGTACATAAATCGCAGAAGATTGTCACAGGTAAGAACTGACGCCCCCACCAGAGCATTTTCGTCACAACTAGTCCATTGTGAGGCATTGCTGTCCGTATAACACAATATCAACTGATGCTTACACAGTTGGTCTGTCCACCGTGGCATACTGGCACGGTGACAATGTGGGAGTCTGGCGAGGGGACATAGGTGCATAGGAGCCGAATCCTGCAGCAGTGTGCTGTTTGGCTTTTAGCCGTAAGGTTGCTATACTGGAAGTCATGGTGGAACACTGTTCGCGATATACATATGGAGGTGTGGGCGTGGCATAGGGACAGGGAGGCGCAGGGTTGCTAAGACTATTCACTGGCATGCTGACGCTGGGCATGATGCTTGAGCTTGTGATCCCTTGTGGAGAAGAAGCATTGAAGCATCCCATACCCTGACTTGGTGTCACCAAGGGGTTGACGTTGACGGAGTTCAGTCCTGGCCAGGGAAAACTCTTGGCACCCAACGGACTGGGAACCTTGGCAGCCCAATTGTTATAGGTAGAATAGCCTGAGTAAAGGCTGTCATCGAAAGGCTGCATTAAGCCATTGAACTGAGTGCTGAAACCATTCTTGAGTTCTGCAGCTGCATTTCTCTCTCGCTTCCGCCATTTGGCACGCCGATTTTTGAACCATACCTGCAAGAGGCAAAAATTGAAAATGCAATTAACTGGCAAAATTAATTAAAGTAAACAATATTATTATGTAAATAGAAAATCAGTAATCCTAAGAATTTAGCTAAAAATATAAATGCACATCATGCAAAAAGAGGATATGTATACAAGAAATGTCTTTCGTGTCCTTTCAGAAAAATGTGCTAATTTGTGTTAAGAAGTACATGCTAGCAGTTACTCTGAATTCCTTTTTAAGATATGAAAAGAAGAATTTCAAGTTTCATCAATTAGCAAACCAGAACAGAAGGTACAAATATTGTCACGCTTCTGACGTTTGAAAGATTTTTAGCAGAGGTTTTCCAAAATATTTAGACAATTCATTACGTCATGTTACTATTCAAGCGACTGGGTAGGTGGTGCCATTGATTGAAAGACAGGATATTTAATGTAAATTCATAAGATTAGTCAAATAACCAAATTTCAAAGTATCGCCTTTCTGTGTCATTATGATGTTTAATTTATTTTTTGAATTATTACTATATTTCTAAAAAACTAAGCCATTAAAAGCCAATAAATGCAGTTCTTATGAACTTAAATCCTTATTTTATTATACCGTATATAATAGTTTTAATAATTTATTTAGTAACATTTGATGCCCTTTAAATTAGGTAATGTAGTATATCCAGTCGATAGTTTTTATAAACAATTGCAGCATTATTGAAATTAATACAATATGTTTCTAACCCCGTACTTCTCTAAGAATCTCTTTTTTATAGATTAATTTTAAATAAATGGTATTTTAAAATATTTTAAATAAACGTTTTGATTTAATTGGACTTTGCCGTAAACATTATCTCGCATTAACACAATTCATTTCCCCACTTTCATAATTTGTCGAATTAAAAGTTATTTCAGCAGTATATGGAAGATCAACATCATATTTAGCAAAATGTTACATTATATTAGCTATTCGGCATATTTCCCGACTATATTTACAGTTATACTTTTATCTAACTTCCAGAAAACATAACAGCTGTCTAATAACCATGTAGGAAAGATGATATTCTGTATCCGCTGAATTTTATACAATAGTGATTTGGACAAAAGGAAAGAAGCGTTAAGATTAACAATGCAACGTTTTCATATTTAAACGAACTAGTGTACTTCTTGTTAAAAAACCAGATAAATTCGAAATTTTTCTATCAGATATAATCATGCTTTTGTATTTACGGGCAGCATAATGAGATTTAAAGATAAACATAAAAAAACATAAAAAATATAAATAATAAACATAAAAAATAACGAGCACGATATTAAACCTAATATTAACGACAGCTTCATAACCATAGTCTAGTTTAATTAATAAATCCCGAACAGTAAAACATTACTAATCTTAACAAAGTAATAATGAAGTGTGAAGACTTTTACATATATTATTGTTGAACATATTATTAATAAAATGTGCTGCGCATCTAGGTTGACACAATGTAAGACATACTGAATATTATAATATGGTTTTTCTTTATCTATATCTATTCTGGATTATTTTATCTATAATCCTTAAAAAGCACATGATTATTGTGAGAGGATATTACTGTCCAAGTTTGGAGTTGCTTATTTCACTACCCTATACTTGACCTATATTTGAAATTTAAAACGGACGACTTTTTTTCTCTCTAATCCGCAAATTAGAAAGAAAAAGGATACGTTCTGTACAGTACAAGTTTATGGACTCGGAATGGGAAAAACTGTGTACTGATCTTCAAAATAAAAAAGGTCTTTGTTGTTAGGTGACTCAAAGAGATTATTCTATATCAGGTATATTCTATATCAAGAGATTATTCTATATCAAGTAGGTAATGGTATTACAGGAACATTTTATTAATTATTAGAACTGGATAAATGTTTAAAAATTAACAGTTTGACCAGTTATAATCTATATGTGAATTAGATGAATTATGAAATAATTCAGCTTCTAAGTATATTAGTAAGTTCCTGTTTTAAAGTAACAAATATATAGGATCGCCCGATTGGGTCAGCTTTTGAGGACCAAACCAAAAACCACGGTTAACCAAAAATCACGGTTTGTCCAAGGACAGTTAAAAAGATACTGGGAAGAGGAATAATCCATATTATGATTGACAAATAAATCCTATTAAAATGTTCCTGTATTTTCAAGTAATTTAATAGGAAGGAGAACTTCATTTGATTATATAAACTAAATCAGCATTCAAAACAGAAAGAACAACGATTTTGTTTGCGTTAGTGCTGTAGTTTGAAAAAGTTAGTGTGAAACAGAAGATTAATTAGTTGCACACTTGACTTTTTAATGACTGAACAATTCATTACTAAAGAACAATTTAATAATATTTGTATATTTTAGAATGCATGCAATAAAATTACATGTCGTTATTGATAAAAAATGCTCTCAAATGCTATGACATCGTCAGATATCATTGTTAAATCCCACACATTTCTTTTTCATTTTTTGTCTTCCGTGGATGGTTTTGTTTTATTCTAAAAGTTTGTGATTGTAATTTATCCATCTTTCTTCAATAAATAAATTTAGCGTTATTTTATACAAGGCCAGTCTAGCCTGTTACCGATTAATCGGAAGTTGATTGTAATGACATTCCATCCTTGTCCTGCATTGATCACCATACCAGTGCCATAATTTGAATATCCGAGTTGGATTCCCTTTTGGCGTATCGTAAATTCTGCAAGAACTGTTCACTTTAAAATGTCTCCTGATGTGTCTATAAATGTTTACAGAAAGTTAAATACCTTAAAAAAATAAAATATAGTTAATAAGGAGTAAACGTATATTGTTTTTACTTTGCCCTAAAATAAAACATTCTTTTATAATTTGAAAGATTAATTAAAAATCTTTCAAATTATTTTAATAACTTGAAATTTTTGAATATAAATGAATATTGTCATAACTTAAGAGTGTGATAACTTTCGAAATTGTCACTTTATCAAGACACATGAGTAATTATTGCTGTGATATCATAACACAATGTAAGGTAATGGGGGAAATGAAAAGGTTGTAAACTTATCTTACACTAAAAACTATTATGATTAATTAAAAATATTGATTAAAAATTAATTAATAAAAAAAACTATTATTATTGATTACTATATTAAATTATATGAGGATTTTTTTATTGCTACTATATTACGCAGTTTAAAAATAGGAAGAACGTTTAATTTTAATTTTTAATGCATTTTTATAATTACTTTTCTATAAGGATCTACGTAATGAAATGAGAAGAATTTCTTTATATTAAAGTTATTATTTTATAATTACACCAACTGATTTTATCAGATATTGGATAATTTTTAGGAAATTTAAAAAATAATATGATTTTTAGGAATAATTTCTTTTACAATTTTGAAGAATTCATTCGTAATTGATAAGTATATTATCTTTAGAGAGCAGCAACCTCCAGAACGGGGCGCGCAGTTCAAACCATCTTCTAAAAGCTCTTTCCTCTAGTTATTTCATCGTAGTAGAAGATATCGCTGATGCCAGTTATAAAATATTTCGTGAAATGACGTAATAATTGAATATTGATCATTTAAAATTGTTGAAACAAACAAACAACGAAAGAATTTTTCTGTCTGTTTTGTTCATTTTCTGTTTATTGTGCTTTGAATAAAACATAAGCTTACCCATTTTATCTCAGGTTCCTATCTTATCTGGAAAGTTAGGTTACGTTAATTGGCAAAAGCAAACACACGTAAACTATTTACATAGCAATAGAAAGTGGAAAGAAGAGAATCTTAAGAATTCTTAAAATCGTTTTTAGTCTTCAAATTTAATAAAACCTATGATAGAAAAAAATTACATATTTTATATATTAATTTTATATTATATAAAAATATACATAGGGTGATTTGGATATCCTTAGATACTAGAAGCCCGGGGCAAGTGCCTAGTTTACCTTTGTGTAAATCCAACCCTGATCTCTAGAGTATACTATTATTATGATTGTTCGGAAGATAATGAAGAATAATACAGTAACACATTTTCTCTTAAAACTCGCGAATTGGAAAGAATACATCATTCTTATATTTTTTATTCTGTTCAATTAAAAGGAAGACATTTGCAACGAATTTTAAATTCAAATTATCTTCCAAAATGAAAGTTTTCTGATTAACAAGTTACTCTCATCCTTTTCTCTGCTTTAGCTAATTACAGAACTTTCTAAAAGCTAGATTCATTTACGAATTAATTCCCCGCATAGCGTTAGGACTTGGAATTGAAAAAGTGAGATACGTATCCGTGAAAAATTTTTACTGGAAGATTCAGTCTATCTTTTTTTTTTTTCAAAACTCCGGAATTTATCACCAGGGAGCGCTGCCACCCGTGGCGTTTCGCTCGTCCATCACCGCCAAAATGTCGGCAGATCTTTCCAGAATTATCTCTTTTTTAATATTTATTCATCCTCCCAAAAAGCGATCTTACACGCCTCTTTGTGTTTTTTTTATTTACTTATTTTACGGCCTGTCCTAAAATACTTTTAAATCCCCCCGCGCTCGTGGAAGTTATGTATAAAGTTAGAACGCTATCGAACACAATTGATAGACAGAAGAACGCGACTTAAATTCTCATTAGAACGCGGCAGCGATGTGACGTCATTATTGCAGAGTAGTTGCCAGATCCCCCGACTTGAGATTTGCGAGAAGAAGGGGAAAAGAGGAAATAAGAAGAAACAACTTAAGGCTCGCTCGGTAGTGGAATGTATAATGGTCTCTTTTCGCTTGCCACTCACAGGAGGGAGCGGTTGAAGGCTTAAGGAACCAATAGTTTCGAATAATGGCTAAAAGCAAGCGAGTTTGAGAAATGGAAAGGAGATATAATGGCGCATCTTACCAGCCATCTGTCATTGATTCGAGCCGATGTAATGGTGTTTGTGCTGCTCTTTTCGAATAATCTTTTCGGAATGTTTCGCTATTCGCGGATTGGCGATGCTAGGGGGAGCATTACTTTGGATTATTATTATTATACGCGACGTTTC